GGATTGCTGTTGCATAACTTTGTTTCAGCTTCTAATTTAATTTTTATTTATTTTCTCAATTATTTTAGCAAAATATCTCCATTGCATTTAACGTCTCGTTATTTTGTTTATCCTTTTCATAGTTAAAGAAGAAAACGCAGAGAAAATCATTTTAAAGGAGTGTCCGGACGAAGGGTAATTTTGGTCCTTTTGCCGAACAACTTTCGATCCCACACCTTGCTATCGACATTGAGATTGCGTAGTTGTATGATGAAATCAAATAGAAGTAGACAGGTTCGCCTATCGTACGGTTTACACGTCTCCACAGTCTTTGAAACGGAAGTAGAGGTTTATCCCCTATTTCCTGTTTAGGATTTGGTTTCCGGTTCTTTCTAAAGTCTTCTTCAACTCTATACTTCTAACATCTGAGCCCAAACTCAGAAATTTTATTTACTACTTATTTATGTTACAGTGTATTTTGTTTATTTATTTTTCCTCAAAAGGAGTAGATAGGTTCGCATATCGCCAGCTTCACGCGCCAATGTTTTAAACAGCAATAGATTTTTCTCCCTTTTTCCTGTTTAGGATTGTGTTTCCGGTTCCTTCTAAAGTCTACTTCATATTCTCTTAACACACAGTAGCCCTTTGCGTATTCGTAGCATTATCAGCAGAATTCGTCAATCCGAGTGGCTATACATTATTCTGAGTACCTCCACACACACGCGTGCACACACACATGCATATATATATATATATATATATATATATATATATATATATATATATATATATATTAAGCATTTCACCCCAAGCAAGGCGGGAAGCCACTAGGACGCAAGGGGTTACAGAAAATTTAGAGCAAGATCAGATAGGAGTGATAGAAGAAAGGATGAGAAGAGTATGGATAGATCAAGGCAACTGGAGATGTCGATTGACATTACACTTGAATAGCTGGAGATTATAGCTCACAGGGAAACAGGAGAAGGGAAGGGAGTTCCACAGACGAGAGTTGCGAGACATGAAGCTATTAGAGTAGAAGAGACGGCTACATTTAGGAGTTTCGACAGTGAAGTGGTAGAGCGCTGGAACTCATGACGTATATAAAAGTGAACATTGAAATCAACACTTAGAGGCGACAGGCTGTTTCATGCTAGACGCAATAGTTAGGCCACCTGACGATTGCATCTAGCATGAAACAGCCTGTTGCCTCTGAGTGTTGACTTCACTGTTCACTTTTATATTTATATTTACATACGCTCTATATCTGATATTGAGCACTTTATCCCATTAATATATAGCACACTTTAAGCGTATATTTCTTCATATTATATATATATATATATATATATATATATATATATATATATATATATATGGGATTGACAATTATTTTGCAAAAAGGCAGGAGTCATGTACCAACGAGCTCCAAGGAAGCCATATTGTGCACCAAGCATCTTTGTCTATGGTGAAATGTTGAAGGCTGTTTGCGCATTTGTGTATCTTGGGAGCACGTTGAGCATGTTTTGTGATCTTGATGGGGAAATTACAAGCCGCATACAGAAAGCTAGCGATGCATTTGAAAAACTGAATAAACGTCTGTGGACTCAGCACGGAATTTCAGTGTGTACAAAGCTAAAGATCTATTGTGCACATGTGCTTACAGCACTTCTTTATGCTTGCGAGGCGTGGATGGTTTACCGCACACGAATGAAAAGGCTTGAGAGATTCCACCAATACTGCTCGCGTCGTATCCTTGGCATTACCTGGCAAATGTTTGTTAGTTATGTAGACATGCTAGAGAGGCTGTGATAGTATTGACTCCTTGATGCTAAAACAACAATTTTCGATGGGCCGGCCACCTCGTCAGAATGGATGAGAACCGTATTCCAAAGCAATGTTTTTATGGTGAGCTGCGAACAGAATGCCGTCAAACCTAAGATGCGATTTAAGGACTCCATCAAGCATGCGCTGAAGAAATACAACATTCCTTCAGAACTGGGAGGTATGTGCATCTGATCGCATGACTGGAATGAGGCTGCTTGGAATGGAAGGTGTCACTTTGAGAAGAGGAGACACGCAAGGTATAAAGACGTCCCCGTTAAACTTCCCGAAGAAACCCGCAGGCAGCTTGATCTGATGTGTACAGATTGGGATAGGGTGCGTTTTGTCGACGGCTGGTCTAAGGAGTCAGTTGAGAGCGCACCGATGTAGTACTGTACTGATGCGGCATTCACCCTGGGCGGATTGAGCTGGCTTCTTCCTGTTATGTGAAGATTCTTGGGATAAATTACAGAAGTAGGGTACCCAGGCCTACTCGGATAACGTTCTTGCTTGCCGCGGGGTTCCACAGACGCAGAGACAGGAACGACCAGAAGCCGCCGGTTACCGATGCAGACGCTCCTTGGATTTTCACCAGAGCCCTTGTTAGCCGGCGTGTGTGTCAGACCTGTCCGCCTGGTTTTACGATGCTTAACTTCGGTGATCGTACGAGAACCGGTGTTTCAGCGTGATTTCACCGATGTAGGGTGACAACTGAATATAAAGTCGTAGACTGAAATGTGATATTTGCAGTAAGACATGATGGTCCAGAAGCGGTTTCATGCGACATTTTAAATTCCATGATAATGTAACACGCGCAGTTGCCCCTCTGTTTGTGCCAGAGTATGTAGGTCTCTTGATGAGCTAAAGATTCGTTCAGCACATCAGTAGTTATTCTCGTTCAGCACATCAGTAGTTATTCTCCCCAAAAATATGTAGTATTGGCCGTACTCGAGCACGAGTTGGCAACTACAATATATATATATATATATATAAAAGTGAACATAGAAGTCAACACTTAGAGGCGACAGTCTGTTTCATGCTATATGCAATCGTCAGGCCACATATGCTGTTATTTTTCTCGGCTATTTATATATATACGGGTTAGTGGTGCATTGTGGGTATTCTATTATGGCGGTTATTTTACCGGAAGTCGTTTGTTTATTTATTTGGGTCAAGTTATATTGCTCGTTTTTATTTTTGTTTCTTATTTTATTTATTTATTATTTTAATTATTTATTTATTTATTAACTGTGATATAAACAAATTTTTACTACGCTCTATCTCTGATATTGAGCACTTTATTCCATAAATATAGCAAACCTTAAGACTATATTTCTTTATATATATATATATATATGTGTGTGTGTATGTGTGTGTGCGTGTGTATGTATATATATATATACATACATATATATATATATATAGAGAGAGAGAGAAAGAGAGAGAGAGAGGGAGATATTTATATGCAATGGGTAAATTGTCTATTTTATATTTTTAATTTCGCGTATGTGCATTGTTTTTGATTTTGTCCGCTACACGGTAGAGTAGTGTCAGATGGGTACCATCTTTGAGAAAAGAGCACCATGACGGAATTCACTCCTCAAGAAATTTAGAAACGGCATTCTGTACTGTTTGGAATTCGGGCAGGAAGCTCCAATACGAACATTTCAGAGTCTTTGGGTTTCAATCTGATGACATTGGAGAGGATTCAGAAAGATTTTGGTGAATCTAATGGTGATCACGAAGGTGTTTGGAGTGATCATTAATGACGAAGACATTATGACTCCATTAATCTTCCCACACGACCTCAGAGTCAACATGGAGGCCTAAATCAATTGCCTTGATGAGGTAGCGCTGTCCTGTGCCAAGAGAATGGCTGCTGGAAAGCCCTATGTCTTGAAACAGGACACTGTACCATGCCACAGAATCAGGATAGCCCAGGCATAGTTGTAAGACAATTTCTGTGACGACATCACTCGACATCTGGCCACCTAACACTCCAGATTGCAACCCACTTGATTATTATATGTGGAGCACTGTTGAGCGAGAAACAAACAAAGATCCTCTTAACACCAAAGATGAACTGAAGTAAACCAAGAGAATTACAGGTGGACATGGAAAAATATAGAAAGTTGACTTTTTTTCTCTATGACCTACTGATTAAAAATCCATAAAGTCCCCAAAAGACAGGGCATGGTACATGGCATGCTGTGGGAGGAATTATCGGCGTGACACCACATGGAATTGAAAATAAATGTGAATTGCCACGGTCAACTAATATCCGTGATGCAGTTGAGGCAGGCAAATTTGGTGGTTTATAGCCCCAAGTAAAGGAACCACTAAATAGGGAATACTTTGGTCTTCTCTTAGCAACAGCCCTAGACACTGTATGGCTATCTAGTTACTCCATATACGACCCAGTGAAGTGTCCTTCACGGAGGGGTTTCAACCAATCTGTAATTACACAGGGAGAGTTTGATATAAGCCGCATTGAACTACATAAACTACAACCAAAACCAACTGGATACCATCGACACAGCCCTCTGTTTTGCACAGAAGCTGACACAGAAGTACAATTTTGGTGTTTCACTAATTACATTTGACCAGCCATTGTATGCAAAAATACTGAAATTGCAAAGATTTCTTCAAATCTGCCAAATATTTTTATTAGACTGGGCGGATTTAATTTGATGTCATACCTAGGCTCTATTGGTCATATAATACCAAGAGAAAATAGTATATGCTGCAAACTCTGTGAAGCACATGCTCAGTGGTCATTCACTATGCACAAGATCTGTGCGATCATATGCTTCCATCTGCATCAGTTGCGGCTAGGATGCTTGCGACTCCAGACTGTCTGAGTGGCATAAACTTTGATGAAGTCAGAATGGTTCATAAGATGCTTTTGAATTACTCATTGTCACCTGAGAGTCTTCTTACAGAGCATATGACTACCCAGGTACCACAGATAGTCGAGGTTCTACAGGAGGAATTATCTGTGCCCAGTAAAAATGGGAATCTCTTGATCTAATACCTGAAAATGGTCAAACGTTTATTGCTCTTCATTCGGGTACAACGTACAGGGGATTGATCATTTCGCTTACTGTGTGTTTCAAGAATGATCCCGATTTTTCATACTGGGTGGGGGGCATACAGCCTATTCAAAGAGATCAAGTCTCTACCTAGATCTAATGAAGCGACTACCACAGGTTATATCTGAAGCCCAGTTTGAAAAGTATACTTCGGGAGGATATTGGACAAGTAGGCGATCCCATAGATTCTAGTTTGGTATTTTCAAAGACTAAACACTTCAGAGACGAGCGGAGGCTTAGCTCACGGTCGCGGAATAACTTCAAGTACCCAGCCAAAAATTGACTGCATTCTGCCGCAAACTACCCTGCATGTGTCTCCCTCGAAAGTTTCTGTGGTACACACGTTTCCACTACAGATCAGCACAGAGACGTCAGGCCTACTGCTACTGTACATTATGGTGAATATTTCAACAAGTTCAGCTCCTACATATCCATGTATTTACCATTTTCTTACAACGAATAGTATGCTACAAAACTAGTAAGCGTTGTCACAGGAGTTGTAGCCCATTGATCTGTTACGGTTTTTTGTGTATATACTGTGTAACTAGTGAGCGAGTCAAAATGCCTTAATTCCCTTTATAGTCGACCAATAGAAGGTTGACCAATCAGAAGCCGCTGAACATTGTATCCGTCGTGTATAAAGGCGGCCATCTTTGTTTCCCTAGCGGAATGTCCAGAGGCAACTTGTCCGGCGAACAGGACAGACGGAAGAACTACGCTCTGCTACCTTGCTGCGATATCCACTGCGAACCTGCACTACGCTTTCCTACTGTCTCCGAAGTATTCACTGCCAACCTCTGGATTCTATACTCGAGGACGACCATCATGAAAATGTCTAACATGATCTGCCAATACGGACAGTGATTTTTACATTGGATAAGAAGTTGCCGTAAGACTGACCGGTACGAACTATACTGACGATAAACTCAGAAATGATGAGGTGGTGTCAATTGGTTCAGCAAATAATAACACAGAAGTTCGTGGTCAGCAGGTGGAAATAAAACCTCTTAATCTCTTCATGCGTTTAACATGCACCATACGGAATTGCGCAGATATGCAAGATCACCTAACCTATGAGTTCAGTAAACACCCACCTGCTCTTTTTGAGAATGATGCCCTGAGGAAGCTTGCAAACGTGTTGTGTCTTCCCTCTGTCTTTTCTGCAAGTATTTCCACGGCCACTGCTCCGACGAGTTACTTTCACTGGTTTCCAAAATGCATGAATTTAAACGTGCCACGAGGTTGGAATCTCAGTCCCACCTTTTTATTATCGAATCGACTAAATTTAGCTATCACTTTTACTCCAACAGCTTCTTACCTCGCACCTCCCGCCAGGTGAACTCCTTCCCTATCACTTGCTTCCCTGATAGCTATAATCTTCAAATATTCAAATGTAATGTCAATCGACATCTTCTGATGCCTTGACCTTGATCCCTGTCCTTCTCTTAATCCTTTTCCGAAATAATCCTCTTTTCTCTTACTCTCCTTCTCTGTAACCCCTTGCGTGCTAGTGGCACTCTCGCCTTGCTTGGGGTGATTTGCTTAAAAAATACCAAAAGTGATTTTGCCAAAAAGTTAAAAGCCAATATGGGAAAGTTATCAGCAAAAGCTTTACCAAACGCCACGCATGTGACAGACGGAAGTCATCTTCTGCACAGTGTTCTCTGGCCATCGAGCTGCACTAACATGGATGTTTGTGACAACTATGTCAGTTATGTGTTATATTCCGTGCTAAGGGAATAAATATTTAACACCTGGCGGATAATAGGAGAAAGGTTCATTGTACACAAGTACAATATGAAATACGGTACAGTTATACACACAGGTCAATCTAGTAGTGAGTGCCACTAATTGGAAGGTCAGACGTGCTTGCGTCTTCTCTCTCCTAGTCTCTCGTAGACAGTAGACTTTATAGGTACTTACTACCTATAGTGTAATCATTTATGGGGGTGACTGGTTATTCCATTACGTCATTATGTCATCAGCAACTATGGACCTGATTTTGTCGTGTGCTTTGATGGGTACCCTGATTTTATCGTGTGCTTTGATGGGTACCCTGATTTTGTCGTGTGCTTTGATGGGTACCCTGATTTTGTCGTGTGCTTTGATGGGTACCCTGATTTTATCGTGTGCTTTGATGGGTACCCTGATTTCAGCAGGTGCAGAACAAAGCCACCGTGATCAATGTCGGAATACATCCAAAGACATTCTATTTAAACTGAGCTTGCGGGTAGCTGGTAACCAGCAAAATCGTCGAAAATAAGGCAAGGCACATTGCTAAATTGATGATGGTACTTACCGCTGCTCGTATAGCATGTCACCAGAGGACAGTAGATGCAGATTTTCTGATATGTAACACTGCAATTGAAATTGCTGGTAGCACTCAAAATATAGTTGTAGTAGTCAAGAGAGACG